AGGCCCAATGCCTCAGATAACCGTACTGGTTACACCTCTATTACTACCTCAACAGATGAAAAGGGACGCTAGTTACCGTAGCTAAAATCGTATCGTAAGGTGTTCAAACCTAAGCTCGTTGGGTAGACGTTTAACTTTCGCTAATTTTAAGCGGTGTTATGCCGATAAGGGCCTTAGGAACAAGGTATAGACCTTGTGTATATCCTGACATAGCTTCCTAACTTTTATAAGATTAGCCGTCACTGTGATGATAATATGACTTTATACTTCGTGACCTTTTCAGTGGGTCCACCGAGATGCCTAATTCTGTCACTGAGTCAAGCAAGATTGCGATGATGCAAGATCTCAATGCGCTGCCATCATCGGGTATGAAGCTTCTCGAGAAATTAAATCAAGCGTCAGTGTTATGCGATATTCACATCTGATAGTTGTTACCAGACGTTTCTTTAAGAGTCGAAAGACTGATAACAGGAGTATTCTGAACAAACTTTCGACAAGAATTGACACATGTCCTCATTATAATAGAGTAATTAAAGATATTTTTTAGGCGTCTGAAAGGAGGCTTAGAAGAAAGAAACATATAGTAGAATTTGCTTGCCACTCTGATTGTCTACTTTGCATCAATCACACTTATTTTAGCAAATGTCCTGTCCATTTCGTTGCATGTCTGAATCCACCTGTCAAAAGATTAAAGAGCCAACTAACTTCCTATTCTATTTCTAGCTCGCCATATCTGGCCTATCAAACTTCAAACAGAGATGAAAGTGCAATGTGTTGCATATCTGAGTCCACCTGTCAAAAAATTAGAAAGTCAACTAACTTTCCGTCCACTATCTCGCACCTATCAAATTCCAGATTGAATTATTACAGTCTGTTGTTGCATATCTGAATCCACCTGTCAAACAATTGGGAAGTCAACTAGCTTTAACTCAATCTCTCTGGCCTATCACATTTTAATAGAAATACAATAACAGTATGTTGCAGGTCTGAGTCCACCTGTCAGAAAATAGACAGACAGCTAACTATTAGCTCATCATCTTGCACCTATCAAGCTCTGAGTAAAGTCATTACAGTCTGCTGTTGCAGGTCTGAATCCACCTGTCAGAAATAGACCGAAAGTAAATCTTTAGTTCACTATCTCTCACCTATCAAATGCTAGATAGATAAAATACGGTCTCTTGTTGCACATCTGAACACCAATTTCTATAAATAACTTCAAACTTCTGTGGTTATGTCATACATCCCAGAATGACTTGTAGATCTGAAGAGCTTTGGATGCAAACTTAGCTAATAAGAAGACTACCAGCGTCTAGCTTCCTCTTCATAGACAGACTACTTCCTGCCAATCACATTCCACAGAGACAAGAAAATGTGTTTTGTTGCAAATCTGAAATGAAATTTCTATAAATAACTTCAGGGTTCCATGGTTATGTCATGTATTTTGGAGCAACTTGTAGATCTGAAGAAGTCTGGGTGCATTTTTAGCCAATAGGAAGAGTACTAGCATCTATTATGCTCCTTAATGACTACTCTACCAATCATACTCTCTCGAGAGGGAGGGAATTGCGATTTGTTGCATCTCTGAAATATTGTTTCTATAAATAACTTCAGATTTCCATGGTTATGTCATATTTTTTAAACTAAGTTGTAGATCTGAAGAACTATGTATACACATTCGACTAATAGGAAGATTACTAGCATCTATCTTGCCCCTCGCAGACTGCTTCCTGCCAATCACACTCCTGAGAGAGGAGGAAATACATTTTGTTGCATATCTGAGATATTATTTCTATAAATAACTTGACTAACTGAGAGATATCTTATCATAGTATGTTGTATGGATGGAAGATCTGCGAAAGTCCTCCTACGTTCAGGGTTAGATATTTCTTTGAGCTAATACTTCCTTGCAGGCATACCCCAAGTGCTATCGTTTTTCCTTCAACTTGGCAATCAAGATACTCTGTCTACATGAAGTGATGCCATTCAATTTGAGATATGTCTCTTATAGCCACAAGGATAAAGGTCACATAAAATTCAATTTGGCATTCAAAAGCTCACGAAACAAGAACCACATAATAGCAGATAATCACTACTGCATTTCTTTCTTTGCAAGTCTTGTTAAATATCAATTATTAAAGCTTCTTACTAAATTTCATGAACTCCATGAATCCTACAGAGCTTCAGGCCCTCCAAAATACAATAGTAGTGTGTATTATCATACATGCCATGAATAGTATCACAAAGCTCTGCTTCTCTCCTATCATTGAAAGGATAGTGATCACTGTGACGCTTTTGAGAAAGAAAGGTAAGAACCCACCAAATGATATCAATTGTAGGCCTCAAGGTAGAAAAAGCGCGAATCATCGTGGACGAGTCTACAGTGCGGGGAAAATTTCGACTTCTAACTGCAACAGCTGGCCAAACTAAATGATGCAATCCCAGAACAGCAATCAATCCAAATTTCTTTCAGGAGTCTCATCACTGATATTTACATCCACTCGTTGATTCAACCTCTCAACCTCGTCGATTGATATATGTGTATAAAGCTGAATCAAAACTCGCTTAATCGAAACAGAATCTCACAATCATACACACACATCGAGACGGACTTGTTTTATACACAGCACAAGAATATTGGAATTGAAAATTTAGGAATTCAAAAAGAATACCGATACCTATTTGGTTATACTATAGTCTAAACAGCAATTTCATCAATCCATTTTCTTCTACGATCTTATCTCCTACCGGTACACTTGCGTGATCAACTGTAAATCTGAAAAATTTCCCCGCATTTTAGTGCAATTATATGCGTGTGGATTTTGAGAAGAAATAACACTGCTCTGTGTCTTCGTTGACGTAACTATTCTTATTTTTTCTTTATTACACGGGAGATACTTTCATCTCTCTATAATGGAAATATGCCAACAATAACGCCGTTACACATTTTCGCTGCGCTCAAATATGATTACTAAATGATTGGAATAGAAAGTAATACCACATCTGACATATTCAGTGCTCGTATTTCACATAACATTTCCATTAACGATTCATATTTGAACAGGGTTAGGGTTAGGGTTACACATCGCAAGTTCCTTGTCTAGTCGTCATCGATTGACTGCCGATCGAACCATTGAGAGATATCGATATGGGCTCACTGCACGATTTGTTGGTATGGGTCTTCATTTCCGAATTTGTTAAAAAATGCGACGCCTGCAAAGTATATTCACATCCTGTGCTAGATAGGCAAGAGCGTTTCCTAATAACGTACTTTGTTGTGGACGAACTAACTATGAGCCTTGATTACGCTTACTGTGTATACTCTGCCTGGTAGCGAGTATAGATTTGGGATATGGGATCTCAATATCCAATTATGCCTTAAAACATGTATCTTGATTGAAACCCAAACGCAACATATCTATGGAAGAGAAAAAGTTTTGGGTAGCTCTAGAGTAGGGTAGCTTTTGTTCTATCTGTATGAAGGTACATGTGCAAGTATTACTTGATTTCATCTGCTTCCGAACCATCTATTACTCAATTCGCAACGCTACTACAACCTCGTGTAACCCGAGATGCGGTTTCTACGTGATGAGGGAAATATGATGATTTGATCCATCAATGGCTCTTAGTGCCACCCAAGATGGGCATTTACTGGTGCAGAGAAATGCTAGGGATGCGAAATGGGATCGTGGGAAGTCGATGGTGAAGTGCCAGTCAAGATAGAATGAGAAAGAATGAGATTTCATTTGATTCCACACAATTCCAGAGAAGCAAAAGAAAGTGAGGATGGCAGTTTCACAGCTAAGGGGTAACTAAAACTATGGTACAGAATGGAAAGAGCAATTGCCTTATTTTGAAGCACCCACCGATGACCATGGCACCTGTGAAATCGGCTCTGCGAAATATGGAAAGGATCAATTTAATTCAACGAAAACAGTAAAATTACTCGATGGGTATTTCTCTTACGATGAATAACAAACTGCGAATCACGTGCAAATCCAGCTTCTCATTGGAAGACAAGATGCACCAAAGAAGCTTGCAGTAGTCATCTTTCGCTTAAATTTGTTAGAGTTGTACTAGTTCATCACTTGAGTAGCATCTAGTTCCCCAACACTTCATTTCGAATCCTCAGAATGCATTATCAGACTGTACAGTATGTTTCTTCATGAAATGATAATATGATTGATCTTGATAACTACAATGTTGTCCATCCCCTTTTTTCTCGTTTTTGAATCATAAAATTTGATACAAAATTGGAAAAAAAAAATACATCCTTCTTGGCGGGAAAACTGTGTTGGGTTTCAGGGTCGCCGTACTAAGCGAGAAAATGGGGGGGAGTGTACTAGTAGGACAGTGAACGTCGATGACTCAGTATTGAATGAAAACCTAAATTTCGATAATCGACCAAAATCTTGTCCAATGAGAAGAAGGTTGAAATTTTTCCAATATTATACGTTCGAGGACCCGCGCATTGAATTAAAACCGAATACTCAGCAAAGTCTCGAGCCCTCAAATTTTCCCACATCTGAATACTTTCTATCCTCACTCGTACACGTAGACATATTTGGTATCACCTTATCACTAAATCCTCGTTTCTCATACAGAAAAGTCGACGTCGACAACCCCTTAGAAGAGCGATAAACTCAAAGTAGGTACGACTACATCACTTGATGCACATCTGCCCCTTCCCCCTTTGGACTAGACTTCCTCCAATGTTCAAGGTTAACGTAGAGATGACACATCGTTAAACTAACTAATTGAAAGTCGAACTACCTGAGCGCATTGAGAGAAAACTTCCGCACAATTGTTCTTCTTCATCATCATCATCATCATTCCCCATAAACAAAGAAAATCAAAATTTTATCGTTCAAAAGGAAAAGATATCACAACGCATAGAATAGAGCTTCAAGAAACACAAGACAGTCGAACAATCACAAACAATAGTTAGAGCGACTAGCAATCGCCAGAAAATTTTGCACCTCGACCAAATGGCCGACCAAAAAATGATTCAGCGCTGCCAGCTGAGCAGCGCCGCAAATTGCTTTCTCAACTCTCACCGCGAAGATGACGATACTGGTAAGCTTTCTTGTTCAATCGTAAGACCACCACTAATTCTCCAGGCTCCGTTTCGATGAAACATCCTACGGCTGCATACTACGATGGTCACAATTGGAAATCAGCTGCGTCTGTTGCGAGGGAGCTCGAGCATCAAAGATACGCCGTGTTCAAGGAAATTCAGCGCATGGAGACGCAGATAAGAGACTCGGTTGAGAGAATCCATCTTGGTTATCCAGTAAGTCATACCTGCATATCTCTGTCGATTTGAGCCTTTGTCGCGATGATAGGAGAGATGGAAAGGCCTAACGATGAAACCAAACAAGCTGACGAGTTACCAGAAGGCAAGGAAGGTAGAACCTACACCCAAGAAGCAGGAGATCGCACCACGAGGCTCTGCTAGAGCTGCCAATGTCCGCGCACACTCGCAGACACCCTTCATTTTGAATCCCGGTCCAACCCGCTATTCCGAGTGGCCTAGCCGCTTTGCAAATTCTCACCTCTCCGAGCACACTGGCAGGTTGGGGATACCAGTATATCATGAACATAGAGACGTGCAATGGAGCGGGGAATATTTGAAAATGATGAGAGTAGGCGCCCACGATAATGGACGCATTGATCAACGATATTCCGTACAGAATTACTATGAGCATGTTTTGGATAACATCCAGACGCTCGATCGTTCTCGTGGAAATGGGTTTGTTTTGAATGAGATGGCTTTATATTGGTCGCAAAAATTACCAAGAACCATGGCAGCAATAAATGATGCATTCCTCCTTGGAACAAATGATAAGAGGATGAGGAAAGTCCAGAATACATCGTCCAACCTGAAAAATATTTATAAACGTAATCAGCTCAAGAGAAAACTAATTTCTGGGGCCGATAGAGGTGCGAAGAAAGCGCAGAGAATGGCCAATCTCCTCAGAGAACTTAAGAAGTCCCCGTTCCTCCGGGAACAGATTGAGCAGTTCGAATATATAAAGGAAAGAGGCGGGGACGGTTATTTGGAAGTCAAGCATCATTTAAGTGCGGTGCCTGGATACATGTCTCATGAGTTTAAAAATGAGCGTCTGCCGGTTAACGGATTGTGGAACGGGATTGGACCTGGTAATGGAGTCAAACGTGAGCGCACCGGTTCCGTATGGTCTTCCCATGACCCTTATGGTGTGCGTAGCTCGTTGAGGATGGTGAATAATGCTAGTAGTGACTTTCAAGAAGAGTACGTCACGAAGGCGACTTATGGTCCACCAACTTCGATACATACAGTAGATGACGCGGCCGAACCAATGGAGGAAGAGTCGGATCCAGACGAGGCAGATTTGGACGAGTCAGATGTAGAAGATACATATTCAGACGAGACATTTTCATACGAGACATCTTCAGACGAGGATTTTTTCCCGATGGATTTAGATAGGCCTGAAACAGAGGAGAGTGAATCAATGGAATACTAATAAGATGAGATTGAGAACGGGTATGAACAACAAGAGGTCCCCAATTCTGCGGAAAGGCAACTGACTTGGCTAGACGCAGAAATTGTTTCGGGGTTTTGTTGACACAACACTCAGTTCTTATTCCCCAAAAATGATCAGGACGGCGTCCCATCAACATCGATTGCATATGAAGCCGGGTCGAGTCGTCACCGAATGAGGTTTATCTATCGCTTTCGTCCAGATTTTGGGGATTCGTTTTCGCAAATACTCTGGAATGTATCTTTCAAGGTCTTCCTCCATCGTTCCAAGCATCTCTCAGAATTAGAATTTATTCCAACGCATCTTCGGTATATCAGTCCTCCAAATCGAACGGCAAAAGTCTTTATGTATCAGAAAGACATATATACCACGACTATTATCGCGAAGCACACCCCTGTCTCCTACAATCCAAATACATCCGAGAAATGTCGAATTTAAGAACCCACACCCCGATATCTCACGCACATATCTGCAGCATGGTTTCAATCTTTAACATCCGAAATCGAATCTGCCTGAGGCTGGATCGGTACATGTAGTGGAATCCACGCTTGCTGCGACTCATGCTTTGGTTCCGTTCGATTCCCAAGGATTTCGTACATCAAGACGTCAGCCCAGGGCGAAGCATTGCCAAAGATTGGCTTTGATATATAATCTAGCTTTTAAGTAATAGGTCTAGACATCAACATTCGAAAATATCGAGTGCTCAAAATATTACTCGACAAAAGCTTCCAAATGTTAGCCAGCTTAAAAGAAATTTCCAGCACAGCTGCTTGAGTTCATTTCCCACAGCATTGGCACAGCGGATTCTCTGTGGCTACGAACCCGGATTCTTGTCAAGGTTATCGGCCGATGAGTTTTGGATATCGAGTAATAGAATATAATAACATCGAATAACCAGTCAGCCGGAGTGCGAATGCTCGACGCCGTTTTCGAACTCGGGGGATTGTTGGAAGCTCTTTAATTCTAAAAGGAGCTTTTGTGCTAGCATTATCGACCTTGACGATTTGCCACGGGTCCAACTCAGATTATCTCTGGGAGTATCATCAATCGAGATGTTGACGCGTGGAGCTTTACCTCCGTCCATAAAGAAGACAGATTAGATGCTCAGTAACGCTCTCTTCTGACACGCTTGAATATTTGGAGAATCTCTCAGAGTTTCTCTACCACCTTTGGAACTTCAACTGAGAGAGAAGGACAAAAAGGGCCGCTTAAATCTTAGTTGAGCGTCCGATGTTCTTGTTGTAAAAACAGAGACCGGGCACGAAGACTCAAGTCTAGCGGATTTCAGGATATAGAACGATGTTGGTATCATTTAATCCACTTAATAGCTGCACTCTAATTTTCTTTGGAGAGTAACAATTTGTATTTGGATACTTAAGAGATATAATTTGGAAATTATCGTCAAACAAGTTAGAAGAGAACTCTTCTCACGAGGCGCCGATGCAAAAAGGGATCAACCGTCTTACCACTTTGTTTTATATATTATTGGTTATTTTGTATATTGCTGGTTATATGTTGGAAATGATTTGCAGGAATTAGAGGGAAGTGGATATTTAAAAGAGAAAGCTGAGTTAGAATGTCGGAAGAGGTTAGAACTTGATATTCTACAAGATCTATCGAGCGAGGAGGGCTTATAATAGATCTTGCCATTTTCCTTTGTCAATAGGCGTTTGTGTAATTGGAAAATATAGCAATAAAACTACTTCAATATTAGGTAGCGGGAAGTTGTGTAGTGATGATGAATGTATGAGTGATGTGAATAAAGGTGTGATCGAAGTATCGAACTCGTCTAACGTCGTGGTGATTGCAAGATAAAGTAAGCTGATGATATTGGGATCGTGATAACGTTCGGTGATGCAAGGAAGGTACATATGGGTTGATTGATGGCTGCGATACAAGCTGATCTGGAATAGTGTAGGAGGCGACATGAAGATAATGGGTCCGGATAAGCTGAAACCTCGTCGAAGATGAAAGCAAGTGTTGTATACAAAATAACCCCGTTCATGGAAAAGAAAAGAGAACCAGTGGGAATGTAACGAACGATCTATAAATCATACTGCTCAAAAAGGACAGTGAAGAAACGGCAAGCATGTAAGAGCAAAACAAGCCGGCATCAACTAAGATAACCGGTAACGATCAAAATGAACGCATGGCAGAATAGAATTCATTCTATGGGATATTTGTTCTGCTCATAAGGTCTGGTCCACTAACTATCAATACAAGTAGCGCTTGCTAGTTCATTATTCATCTTTCGCGTCGGTATCATACAATTCCTTCCAAATCGGCTTCCTCACTCGACTACCATCTCCCCCGAGTATCACACAGCACTTCCAAATCAAACTTTGCTCTCCCCGGCACTCTTCGCGTCATCCACGATTTTGTCTTCCGGGGCAAACTTCATGCTCACACTATTGACACAGTGTCTCTCATCGGTCGGTGTCTTATATCCTTCACCTTTGAATACATGTCCCAAATGGCCTCCGCAATTTGAACACACTATTTCAGTTCGCTCCATACCCAAAGTACTATCTGTATGTCTTGTTACAGCGCCAGGAATGTTATCGAAATAGGCGGGCCATCCACAACCAGATTTGAATTTGTGTGAAGCTTTGTATAGAGGGGCGTCGCAGCCGGCGCATGTGTAGACACCGGAGTCGGGCATGTGCTTGTCGTATTTGCCAACATAGGGAGCTTCGGTGCCTTGTTTACGGAGGACTCGGAATTGTTCTGAAGAGTGTTAGATGAGGTTTATAGATCAATTGTGCATAAGACTATGGAGGGAGAAGAGTATGGTAAGAGGGGGCGAGGTAGACTAGGTGGAGGTAGACTAGGTGGGTGGCAAAGGGCGAGAAGGGAAACTTTACCTCTTGAAAGAACAGCTTGCCATTCTTCGTCTGTCTTTTGCACTGGATAAGACATTTGCTGAGAGCTTGAAGTACCAAAGAAAGATGATAGAAATGGGATGGTTGGCATTGATCTCAGGACGGTTCCTCGAGTGATGGGTTGAAGGGCTTTGTATTGTGTTGCTGGGAGGCGAGAAAGCGTATAATTGCTGATTGTGTAGAAGGTACGGACGAGAGTCGGAAACGTTGGGATACGCATGAAGGATATTTATAATATATTTGAGGATATATTTGATATCGAGGTATGACAAATTGGGTGATAGGTAAAAGGGCAGTGTGCAGGGGGAGCTCAGTCTTATGTGGAATCATCTATTGCTTTGTACGCTCGCGGGGTTGAACGCCACCATGACGGATTCTTAGCGAAGAACCATCACCGAGAAATTTTACAGACACCGGTATTTTGGCAAGGATTGTATTTGGGGCTATGGATTGATTTGCATCATGCATCTCATCATTAGAAATCTTTAGAGGATGGTGAAATTGGTTGATGTGAGGTTAATGAAGAAACTACTATTTTGGTAATGTGGGAACAGCATTTTCTAGCGGATTGGGCTTACATGTTCAACCTGCAGCTGCACATCCTGACTTCAGCTCAAGCCATACATAAGGAATCCGTGACTATGGAATCATCTTTTGGTGTTGACTTCGCATATATGTATATGCGCGGGAAGCAATACAGAATTATTCTAGGGGTGAAGTTGTATTCTCATTAGATGTTATGTTGGAATCAAGACTTGATGTTCATGAATACGCGATGTGATATGATATGAAGAAACCTAAGTGATGTACACTGAATCGTTGTCAGGTTTAGTTAGCCAGAGTTGTTAGCAAGAGACTGAATGAATCTAGAGCTACCATTACGTCGTACTTCTAATTGACAACTCTATCTTCATTGCGATCGGATGAATGGAGGGAATATCATAATGGAAATCAACCCCCAGAACTAGATATAGAGGGAACATTTGAAGTCCAGATGTTATAAATAGGTAGGGTGTTCATCAAGCTTTGTCGTCAACATGATATTGGATATCAAATATACAAACGGTTAATGTTATATTATTTATATACATCTTCGAACCCCCTCAAAGATGCTCTTCAACAATGCATCAACAAACAAAGTCTAGTCTAACAGAAAGCTTGACGCAAGTTTACTATCATTAGTTTATGGGAGGGAAAATTCTTTCTAGTCCATTTCCCGACGGTGAACTATGTAAACCACTAGAAGATCGAGCTGATCGAGGCATCAATAACCTGGAAGTGACTGATTGATCTGTCAATAATTCTAGGAGTTTTAGCCCCCCTCCTCCTTCTTCTTCCCCCCCTCCGCCTCCCACTAGATGCTTGTTGGATGATAGGATGAGAGACCAACGATTACTCTGCATACCTACGTTGATAAATAGACGTTCACAAGGTCGAGTGCGGCACGGGAAAGTGTCAAGTAGGTATGTATGCCATGTAGATGACTACAGTAGCCATAAACCAAGAACCGGATTTCAAACCGAGGATGCATTACTAAGGTCTCTCCAGCTACCGAAGTACGGTTATTTGTAGGTGTGAATCAATGGCATTACCTAGTATCCAATGAAGCCTTCCGAGGGCGTGAATCGACTCTCTCCAAGTGAACAAAGTGATGAGCATACTAGGAGGTAACATAATTACCTATAACCGTAATATATGACGATCCAATTATTCCACTGTCCGATTGCCCAAATCGTCTCAATCCGTACGGTACCAAAACCAATCCAATCTTGGGCCTCTCTCGGTAAGGTCATAATGACTTTGTTTAGTGGGGACGCAAGGCCGAGCGAGCGGTTCAGGCCTGTGCTGCGCTTGGTGTGGAATCAAGAAAGCTCCTTTCAGAAACATTTCCTTCCATTCCTCAGGACACGCGACATACTCTTCCAAATCATTACATACAATCATTGTAATCGAAATTCTTTGCCAGAGGAATCTTCAATTTCATTTTCATTTTCATTCCATTTTCATTCCACTTCACTTCACTTAATTTAATTTCGCCAGGATGTCGCGCAGGCCAGCAAATCCTCAGGCTGAGCGTATTGCGCAGAACACCCAAACGATAAAGAGTCTCTTGAAACTCGAGTGTAATAAAGTCTGTTGCGATTGCAAAAGGAATAAACGTAGGTTCCATCCATATGCTTCCATTCATTGTATGAAGTCAAGAGCTGATTATTCACTCCAATCCGTTAGATCCAAGATGGGCAAGCTGGAATTTGGGCGTTTTCATGTGTATAAGATGTTCCGGAATACATCGTGGAATGGGAACTCACATCAGCCGAGTGAAATCCGTTGATCTGGATTCATGGACAGACGAACAGGTACAAAGCGTATTGAAATGGGGAAATGCCAGAGCAAACAAATATTGGGAAGCAAAGTTAGCCCCGGGCCACGTACCATCCGAAGCCAAAATCGAGAACTTTATCAGAACGAAATACGATTCGAAGAGATGGGTTATGGATGGACCAATTCCGGATCCCTCAACTCTGGACGTCGACGGAGACGATGATATACCCCTTGGACTTGTCAAGGAGAAGCACAACCTTGAAAGATCAACATCACAAAGGACCGCCCCACCTACTCAAGCCCCTGCCCCGATCAGCGCCCCTCCTCAACAGGATCTCTTTGGTGATGATTTCGGACCACCTCCGAGAGCGAGTACTGCCGGTCCGGTACCTGCGAGACCTCCACCAAAGTCAGAGCCGGCTCCCCCAAAGCAAACAAAACCGGCGGATTCCCTCTTGGGCTTGGACTTCTTCGGAACTGAGGCTGCTCCTCCTAGCCGACCCTCGAGTACAACACCTGCTCCGGGTACTCAGTCCAGACCTGATTTGAAACAATCGATTCTATCGCTTTATGCATCCGCTCCTCGTCCTCAAGCGCAACAACAGACATCGCAAATTTCACATGCATCATCTGGATCTTTTGGTGGTATGCAAGCGGCACCCCAACAATCGCCACAGCGCTCTACATTTGGAGGTATGAACGATGCATTCAGCAGCCTAAGTTTTTCAAATGCAACATCTCCTCCAGCTAAGACCACAGCTTTCTCCAACTTGGGCAACCTCTCCAGCCACCAATCTACAGGTTCCGGAGCTCAGATTTCTTCTCCGCCCCTTAGTGGCGGCGGATTCTTTGATTCAAAGCCAAAAGCAGCCGCTGCGCCTTCTCAAGTATCTCGTACATTCAGCTCTACGAGTGGGTTTGGAGCCTTTGACTCGGCGCCAGGACAATCACCAGCTCCGCAGTCCACAAATGCAAGTTCCTCGTTAGGAGATCTATTCGACTTCTCCACTCCTGCTGTACAAAATGTTTCACCACCTAAACAAACACTCGCTTCGCCACCTGCCCAATCATCAGTCTTCAATCTTTCAAGCCCTACGGCAACTGCACAAAAATCTCCGCCAGCAGCACCTGCTATGAGCAGCGCTTGGGGCAACACTGACGCATGGGGATCAAGTGATGCTTGGGGCAGCTCTGCCAAAACCAGTCCATCGCTCACAAAAGCTGCCCCGTCTCAAACTAACGCTGGGGATTTTGGTAGCTGGGGAGGTCTATCGAGTCAAAGTATAGTACCAGGTACTGGAGGTAGTTTTAATACAATGGTTAGTGCTCCAAAGGTGACAGCGGATGATGATTTTGGAGGTTGGAGCAGTGCGGCCCCTGCGCCGGCTTCCAATGCGACTTCTGGAGCTGGGAAGCCTGCTGGAGGGTTCTCATCGGGTGGTGAGGATTTATTCTCCAATGTATGGGAGTGAGGATGTTGAAGGATACAGTACGATGTGAAGTGAGAGATGAGGGCAAGAATTTGCGGGATATATGAACATGGATGAATGGATGGAAAATGACATGAACATAGATATCCTATAAATGACAGATAATTCAAGGCGCAATTTAAATTTGATGTGTTTCTATACAATTCTCGCGTATATTCATTTCACCCCTGAAAGCAAAACCAACCATGCTACGAAATATCGCCATGTATCCTGATCCGTTCAACCGTAATAGTATATGCAACCAATAACGCCCGTTACAATGCCACAGCCGCAGTTTAATATATCTGCCGATGTCCTGCCCATACATATAATACAATGACTTCCTTTCGTGCTCTGTCTCCGTCTCTGTTTCCTTCCCTTTGTTCCCATATCCCTCTTCAAGCGCTATTGAGTTTGTACGCTCAATGCTAGATACTTTGCCATTCCTGCGCTGCATCCTACAAATTCAAAAATTGACCTTGCCGATGCCTTTCAGGTTTGATCTTCAATTTCCTCTTTTCCATCATGTAAAGCTTCCAGCCCCTCATCTAAACAAACAATCCCCATAAGAACCACAAAACCATCACGCACCCAATAATCATCCCGCTGAGCTTCAAGATGGCGACTTTATTTCCGGAGGAAGCCATACGGCCTAGACGTGAAGCGGATCCTTTGAGGGAGGAAGACATGCTAGAGAAGGTATCGGACTATTCGTGAGATACATTAACATCTGTTTGTTGGCTATGTGGGCGGTGAAAGGCAAGGAGGAGCGGGGATGGAATAAGAAGGGAAGGGCATACATACAGTATTATCAATAACATCTTGCGCTCTAGCATTATCATAGATATCCACGGTAACGCCTCTCAATGCCGACACTTTTGCAGATAGTTCATTGAGACGAGAATTGTTTTGACGTTCGCGCTCGTATGCGTCCGACATTTTGAAGTGTCGATTTGTGTTTGTGAGGGGAAGAACGTGGTGGGTAGAGCAGATGCAGAGGTGAGGTTCTGAGACTATGATGTCTGTGTTTCAAATCTCGTGGGTTCGCGTGGATGGGAAGATGGATGGCTTTCTTTGTCTGCAAGAGGTGATACCCCAGTTGATTATTCGTGGTTTGTTTATTAATTGTATAGGTAGTGCGATTAATCCTCGTGTGACAAGTATGTAGTTTGGGAAGTGAAATTTACTTGAATTAATTCATGCAATTCGTGAAACGTGCTGAGAGTACCTATCCATGGATCCTAGATAATCTTGTCGCAACCATGTTCATTTGTGATTAACCCCAAAAGGTCCAAGGCTGAGGCTGATTCGACACAGCCACAAGCTCGGCTCTCATTCCGTCCGACAGGTGATCATTTATCAAGAACGAACTGTTAGTTCAATTCATTGCGCACAAGCTTAGAATTATTCCACGACGTCAACGGCTCGAATCTGATTATTATCGCCTGCATACAAAGATTGAAGTATAGAACCTTGATCGGATTCTTCGGAACTTGTGGATTTGATTTCTGAGAACTCGCAAGATCAGATATAGGAATAGATATCTTCATATATTCCTAATCAAAACCTTCTGGAGTTTGAAGTGATTTCATACTTACAGGATAAGGCGATAGTCAAACACCCCACACTTTGTCACCGAACATCCTACACTTAATTACTCGTTCGCGAACGCAAGGAGATACACAACATACCTACATACCTACATCCCTAATACCTACATACCTACATACCTACATACATATCTAGACAGACGAACCAACAGAATAGCTTCGCGCAAATTCATTACTACTATCGTTCAAAGATCTACCTTACATAGGTATAATTCTTCAATATGCCTTTAGGAATCAATAATCCGCTTCCTTCGTCTATGGCGTGTAAGTTATTGCATTTTGTCAATCGGCCGATATAAGATCATTCAACTACAGGTAGAACATCCAAGCTGACATCTATTCTTTTACCAGCGGAATGCAAAAAGTGTGGAAAGATTTTGTCCTCATTTATTGATCCACGACAAGCTTTCGGACCAGATAAGATTATTCCACCACATGTTCTCGCGCAAGCAAAGGTTTATCCTCCCTCCAATATATTCCTTCCCAGCCACCAAATTCCCGAACCTGTCACTAACATTTTCCCTCAAAACTAGGGCCTCGCAATCGTTACAGTTCTTAAAGCTGGTTTTATCGGTTCCGGTCGTTACGGTAATGGTGTCGTTATAGCTCGTCTTTCCGATGGTTCCTGGTCCGCACCCTCGGCAATTGGTATCGGTGGCGGCGGAGTGGGTGGACAAATCGGTTTCGAGCTTACAGATTTCGTTTTCATTCTCAATGATGCTGCAGCCGTGCGCACCTTCTCTCAAGCTGGTTCTCTTACATTGGGTGGAAATGTCAGTATTGCCGCTGGACCAATAGGACGAAATGCCGAGGCAGCCGGAGCTGCCAGTATGAAGGGTGTAGCTGGTGTTTTCAGTTATTCCAAGACAAAGGGACTCTTTGCCGGTGTCAGTCTCGAGGGAAGTGCAATTATCGAGCGAAGAGATGCGAATGAGAAATTGTATGGAAGAAGATTTACAGCCGCTGAATTGCTTGGAGGCGCAGTCCGAGCACCACCAGCAGCACAACCTCTTATGAATGTGTTGAACTCGAGAGCTTTCGCGGGCCAGAATCCCGATGATGGAATTTATAACGATAGCCCTGTTTATGACGAACGACACGATGATGTAGTTTGGGAAGGTAGGAGAGGAAGTGCCTTTGGAGAAGGTACACAGAGAGATCGAGGCGCAAGCTTAGGACATAGTGACGATTACGTCAATCCAAATCGTCCTCAAAGAGCGAGTACATGGGCCGATGATATTTACGACAGACCAACCAATGGAAGCAGGGCTAGATCTGGTAGCGGATTTGATGATGATTATGTGTATTCTGATAGTCCCCGTGCAGCTCCAAGTCAATTTGGCGGTAGTGGAAAACCAGGACCAGGTAGACCGGCCGCACCGAAACCAAAATTTCAACCAAAGACAGCTAGTTTGAGAAGCAATGAGGCGGTTGCGCAATTTACATTTGATGCAGATCAGCCAGGAGATTTGGGATTCAAGAAGGGAGACGTTATTACGGTAACAAAGAAGACTGAGAGTACTGAGGATTGGTGGTATGTTTCTGTTTCTCTTTTGCTCTGGAAATAGTTTCCTGAGATCTTAGGTGAAGAAAGGGATAGTTAAGGCTAATTTGATGTTTAAATAGGACTGGTACCCTCAATGGACGATCAGGCATCTTCCCCTCGAATTATGTCAAGATGAGGGAGTAGATCTTGTCAATGAAACACGCGCGAGAGTCATTCCCTACTCAACTATACATTTTAACACACTCTTAACCTCGACGGCCGGGACAATACTCTTGATTCGTTTCTGGCATATCCTTGTTTTCATATTCTAAATTATGGGAGTTCTCGGAGGTTTCATTTGCATTTCCTAGGGGTTTATACTCATCTCTATATCTATCTGTTCTGCTAGCGAATCCATTTTCATCTTCTTTTACCTTTTTCATTTCTCATACCTTTCATGTACTTTGGGAAGTACATGGTTGTGGATAGAGCTTGGGCTCAGGCTTTAGGATGCGGAGGAAGAATTTGCGAAACAAAGAGTACGGCGAAGGAAATCCCTTGGTACATAGTGATGAGGAGGATTGTGGGTAGGAAAATTGAATGTGGATATAGGAATAAAGAGACGAATTGGGGAAGAGCTGTCTTGGGATGGAAACGGTTGGATTGGATTGTGGTTAGCGAAATATGAATAAAAGTGGTAATTATATGATCTTTTGTGAGTTATTGATATGTGAAGATGCGAGTCAAGATTGTCTGGGGGAGTTTTCTGAAGGTCAGTAGATGGATTTGTGAGGATGTTCTCTCGTCGTTACCAAACTCGAGTGAATTCTATATCTTGGTGGTGAGTACCTATGGAGTGGAGGTGCAAGTAACATACCAACTTGGACTTTAGGTGCAACTAATGATTCACAGAATCGATAATGTATGTTTATCATTCACTACCTAGGTATCTTTCTCGAAATTCAACTCGTCGAGTGAGTGAGTGAGTGTGCTGTTTATATTGTAAATCCTTTATTTTCTTTTATTTCTTGTTCCTTTTTCTTGTGTGGTTACTAGGTATGTAACTCTGAGATATTGTGTTGTTTGGGAGGTGGGTTTGGGGTTTGGGTTTGGGTACGGGGTATGGGGTATGGGTACAGGGTATGGGATATGGGTACAGGGTATGGGATATGGACTTTTAGAGGGGGGGAAGGGGATGAGGGGGTGTATGGTGATTTGGGGGGGTGAGGTGTTGTGGATGATGATGGTGATGGGGATGGGGATGGTGATGGTGATGGGGATGGGGATGGGGATGGTGATGGTGATAGGGATGGGGATAGTGATAGGGATGGGAATAGGGATAGGGATAGGAATGGGGATAGGGATGGTGAGGAAAACGACAATGAGGAAAACATCAATGAGGAAAACGACAATAAGGAAAACGACAATAAGAAGAGCGACAGTGAATGATCCCAAACTCTGCGAAATATAGGCAGGTACCTCTCTCTTCCAACAATGTGGGCGTGTAAATATCGATCGATAGGTATCTAGAAGTGTTTCAAAATGATCCAAAGTCCTAATATCGCATTTGAAAGTTGGATTCTCTTTGTTATTGGGTGTAGATATTTTTTAGTAAGGGATTATATATAGGTAGATGTGGGATTTTGGGAGTTGGGGGTTGGGGGTTGGGAGGTGGGATGTGCGGTATTACTAGGGGGTGGTAGACTGGTGAGATTATTCAGAAAATGAGGGTGGTGAATATCTAAGTTTTGAGGGGCCATTGAGAGGTCTCATGTGGTGCTACTTACTCACTGCGGTTCTTAGATGGTCACCAGCAGATTAGGATTAGATACTTCTCCACTATTCTCGTTTTCTCCCAGGGGTTCCGGGGATATATAAGAAGTCCTTTTCACAGAGTAATAACCCATCAAAAGATTGAGATCTGTGAGAAATACGGACCATGTGTGGTGTGCGGGTCGGTAACTAAGTGCATACGTACGTGTGCGAATTTGATGCGAATTTTGAGTGTAGTATCACAGGGAATTTCGGTAGGAGTGAGGATTTGGTTTGGCGATTATGAATGAGAGCGTTTTGAGATTTTTGGAAATAATATGGGAATAGCACGACAGTGATTGAAAAATTGATAGCTAGATACCTAGGTAGATAGATAGAATGGCAAATACAGGAAGTGGTCGGGAAATAGTAGCAAGCACTTCAAGCTCGTGGATTCGGAAACAGTTTTTTTATCACGCGCTCGGGAAATCTTTGCGGCTGTGCTTGGTGGACTTGATATGTTCAACTGGTGGCGAAATGGCTGTATAGGTGGATGAGAGCTTGATCTTGTACATAGGAGAGACATTTATACAGGAAGGGAAGGATCGAATTTTGACTCGGTATTCTCTTGAGCTCGCTTGTTTTGCGGGCAGGTTTACTGGGCGTTTGTGTGGTTCGCTCTTGAAGTTGAGGGGGGGAGGGGGTTAGTTTGGGGTCTAGGTGAGGGTTTGCTATATAAATTCTACATGACCGAAAACTTCATTGATCTTGGATATTTCAAAGTGATGAGCAGAGTCCCGGAATGGGGGATTTTTTGCGGCATTTGTATCTGTGAACCTGGGGGTTTCGGGGGAGGGTGTGTGGAGCTTGTGAGTGAGTGATGTGATTTGAAGGTAGCTGAGTGTAGTGGATAACAATATGGTTGATTAGATTGACAGTAAAGAGTGAAGAGATGGCAATAGTAAGAAGGAGTAAGATCAGTCTCGAATACTGTCTCTCAAAGTCCTTCTCTGGATAGCATATTTAGCTATTTTTTCCACAAAGAGTTACATATCACGCCTCATCGTTAGCTGGCTTTTTAGCATTTCTTCAAGCCGGTTCCTATATTCTTGCTCTTCTGGCTTGATATTTGCAAACTATTTATACTCACATCCTACAAACGTCAAAGTTTGAAGTGGACAGTATTTACTGGCACCTAATTCTATCGTCTTCCATCACACTCGTTCCTATCAACTCATATATACTAGGTAAGCTCTCAGCATCTTATTCACCTATGTTATTGTACTTACGTACCCCTCGTCAGCAAGAGCGAGAAGAAGAGGAAGCTAAACTCTTTCAAGCTAGGGCACAATAGGTGGAGAGCTCTCGTT